TGGTGGGACTGGCTGTGATGAGGCCCCGGAGGGCCCTGGCAAGGGTCCTGGGGGAGTCTCTCTCTGTGGAGATGTCAAAGGGGTGCTGGGCTGTGACGTCTGTTCTCCGGCTAACCGGGCCAGTCGCCTTCTACGGATCTAAACAAGGCAGATTAATTTCAATGTAATCTAATTACTAATCAATAATGAGCAACAGTTTACAGTCTGATGACCTCAACTGCTCTTATTTGGCAACTACAAGGGCAGACCCTTAAAAGCAAAGAGGGAATTTCTATATAATATTTCACACATGCTTTTGAAGCAAACAAACAGTAGTATGTTTTTAAAGTCCTAAAGCGGTCATTATTTTCAGCAGCAGTGACAAATCATCTCTATACAGTGGAGTGAGTCATTTGAGATGGAGAAGGCATCAGCTTCCACAGCAAATACTGTCAGTGAAATGGCAAGGAAAGGAAAACGCACGACTGAATTAATCAAAAGTGCAAAAAATGGCCAAACCCAGTCTGAATCAGCAAAGGATGATTCATCTCAGTTCACAGATATACTGCATCTGCAGCTCACATTTAATTGTATATTATTTCAGATTCACGTTTAATAATGGTAGCAACACAGAACAAATGCATTATAAATCAATATAGCAGCTTATTTTGAAAATGTATATTAGCTCTGGCTGACATTAAGATCTAAGATAAATGACTGACATCCATGAATTAAAACTCAAAATGGTTTTATCTATTTTATAACTTTATGACCTATTTTTTATAAATAAATTGTCTATGATTTTAAATTAATATAAGGCAGCTGATGAAAAAAGAAGCTTGAACCAGCTTAAGATGGCTAGCTGGTCTCCCAGCCTGACCAGCTCAGAAAAGACCAGACTGTGAGACCAGCAAACCTGCATAGGCTGGTTTAAACTGTTTTTCCAGGTCAGAGCTGGGCTGAGTTTGGTCTTATTTTACAGCAGAACAACTAAACACAAAGCCCTGTCTGTAAATACACACCAGTGTCATACAGCAACAACGACCAGTGCCAAATAACGTTATCCAAAACCCGAAACCAAGATCTTTATGGGATAAAATGCACTTACAATAAATATTACCATAAAATACTACGTTTTTGTCGAGTTACCAAAGGTTTTAAGCTTCAACAGCTGACCACATGATAAATATACTGACCTGACGCCTGACCAAAGCTTGTTGCGCATGATTTCAGTTTCTAAACCAGGTGCCATTTAATCAAATGCATACCCTTGGCTAAGTTAACCTTGATAATTGCACATTTTATCACGACTGTAAGTTAAATTGAACAAACACCTGGTCCAAAATGATTGTATCTCTTCACACGCCAGTCTTTCAGCCATTTTGGATTCCCAGTGAAGAAAAGCCTCACAAAAGAAATGTTAACTTGTCAACTGGTTACACGCTCCCCAGCGACTGTAAACGATAAGGCTGTTATTTTCATTGTGAAAATAAAAATAAGAAAAAAGCAGATGATCGAGGCTTGTGGCAGATCCAGTTTGTCAAACGTATCACTTGCTAACGAGCTGACTGGAAATAACCTCCATATTCTCATTTAATTTCGCTTCTATATCGGCACTTAAGTGGCTCAAAATGAGATTCAGAACCTAGCCTCATTTATTTCTATGCGAAATAAATGTAATCTGGATATATTGAGTTGTTGGTTAGCCGGTGTCCTGTTAGCTTATCCCATCATTACTGCGATTGAAAAAGAAGGTGACAACGACAAGCCAATAAGCATTTAATAAAACCCCAAAACATAACAGTCATGCAATCAGAGAAGCCGTTTCGACTGGAAATACATCACACTGTGTGGAAATCGCCTTACCTCTTCAGGACTGAGCTGCTCCATTGCCTTTCTTTTAATTTTCAGCTTAATTATGTTGCTAGCCAGTCAGCTAGCTTCCTTATAAACACCAAAAGTGCATAGTCTGAACCATAAAACAAATATCAATGAGCTGTGATTGTCTCATTTAAATCTTTATATTAAAACATCAAACGCGCGTGGCTGATTTCTTCCGATATGGAAGGGTTATTATATTCGGTATCTTTTAAGAATGAAACAAACACAAAAGTATTATTCGTCAAAACACCGACGCGGCCATTTTGGATCTGGAGTCACGTGACGCGAGATCGACACATTCCAGGCTGCGGCAGTTCAGGAAACTGATTTCACTGCTGAGGCGACCTCAAGAGACTTGTTTTCTTCAGAACACAAGGGCCAGTTGCGTAAACATAGTCACTATGTTAAGAACTAGTTTGACCAACTAGCACTTAGCCAAGAGGTAATCAATGTTACTTTTCTGATTCAAACTTCAATTATTAATCATTTGTTTTGTAAATTGGCTAAATGATTGTTTGTATTTGTTGTTTTAAAAAGAGAGATGATGATGATAATGATTTGTTGATGGTAAATCCTTATAAAAGAGACATTGCAACCCAGTATTAGCAAATAAACGCACAAAGTATATTATAACTTGTTTCAAATTTTATTGCACAATAAGGGACATTCAAGTAATCGAACACGATGTTGAGTTCAAGTAATTAAATGAACACAGTGTGTATATTTAGGTGTCACATACATACATTTTTTACAAATCTTAACAAGATTATAAAAATCAGCAAAAAATAAAACTAAATAAACCAGTTACAAAATGTTTTTTTAAGTATTCAAAAAGAGGCATGGTCCTTAATTAGTCATATTCTGGTGAAATAATGATTCTGGGGTGCAGAAATACACATTGCTAAATGTCTGTGAATGTGGTTCTTGTATTACATGTAAACATGATTAGGCAAAGTTGGCACAACTATGGACAACATACAGTGTTATAAGCTGCTCCTGACCTGACTTCTGTTTGTTCATGCTCTTATGGCGCCCTCTAGTGGCATTATAAATCACGCTCCTAGACACTCCGGCTCAGTCTGCAAGCCTCTTGCTGAATGTAGTTGATTAGTCAGGTTTTGAGGCACAAGTTGACACTCATGGTTCTTCCTCTTGCCTCATATTCCTCTGACTCTGAAGTGAGTTTAAAGTGTAAAGCGCTTTGTTTACATCAGTACACCTATTCTTGTAGTAAACGTCACAGCAGGGCCTCAAACAACCCGTTTGAAAACTTGTTTGCAGACTTGATCTTCACAGTGCAAATCCTATAAAGGGTTGAGAGGTATGATTATTAGTGAGGTGATTAATGAAATCATCACTTTTTAATCATCACTATTTTTATAGTGCAAGATGCTTAATTTCACACTTACCAAATGGAGTTTGTCGTCCTCGATCCAGTGTGCCCAACCTCGGTTCTTCTTCTCACCTTTTTGAATGCACACCAACTTGTTCCCCTCCCATGCCACCAGAGACTAGAGAAATCGATTTATGTTTCATTTAAAACATAAAACATCCATTTTGTCTTTTCAGAAAATATTTGCATTCCAACAGCCTAAAGGGCTGTCAGTGTTCTTGTGCCGTAAGACTGTCAGTTTTCTTCTATGAAATGTTTTATTAAATGTCATGGAAATAAAAGAATCAATAAAGTAACATTTCATTTTACCGTGTCCTTGTCACACGTTACATGTACTTACTATAGTAATAACAGTAAATTATGTGTTGCAATATAATGATAAAACTTTGTAGTACCTTGCAGTGTCTGTCATCCAGTCCCTTGGTGAACTCTTGAAACTCCTCATTGACTCTGAAAGAGAAAGTGTAGTTTCTGATGGTGCTGAGAGTCTTGACGACATATCGATCCCCCACCTGCTCGATCACTTTACGATGTTTTAGCTTCAGGGCGATATTGCGGGTGTACAGACTTATCCCTGTGAGAAGATAAAGTTTAGGACCTATTACTCCTGACATACATTAAAAACAAATGGAATGGTTTACACATTATAATATAATATAATATAATAAACATGCAATAAGAAAAAAAATAACTATAAGCTATATGTCTATTTTAGCAACAGAATTAAGAACAATTATCTATTTCAACTAGAAAAAGAATGCTTACCTAAAGCAGTCATGTATCCCTCAAAGTTGACATTGCTCACCATGTCCCATGAACCACAGAGGCTTACAGGCATTTTGTTAACCTTCTGCAAATTATTCCAGTAGAAAACCAGGTGCAAGGTGTGAGTGTGACAGCCAGAAGGATTCCCAGCACTTATTTGTGTTGTGAGCTGAGTGGGCGGTCCCTCGTGTTCTACGTATTCTAATTTGCACGTCGTACACTCTTCAAAGGTCATGCCTTACGTAAAGTAAAACGTGTCTGACAGGTGTTTGTGTGTAAATAGTTTGCCAAAACACACACGTTAACACAATACTACTTGTTCAGACGCTAAATTAGTCATAGAAAATGCAACGCTTGATATACAGTGGGTACGGAAAGTATTCAGACCCCCTTAAATTTTTCACTCTTTGTTATATTGCAGCCATTTGCTAAAATCATTTAAGTTAATTTTTTTCCCTCATTAATGTACACACATCACCCCATATTGACAGAAAAACACAGAATTGTTGACATTTTTGCAGATTTATTAAAAAAGAAAAACTGAAATATCACATGGTCCTAAGTATTCTTTGTTGCTGTGACACTCATATATTTAACTCAGGTGCTGTCCATTTCTTCTGATCATCCTTGAGATGGTTCTACACCTTCATTTGAGTCCAGCTGTGTTTGATTATACTGATTGGACTTGATTAGGAAAGCCACACACCTGTCTATATAAGACCTTACAGCTCACAGTGCATGTCAGAGCAAATGAGAATCATGAGGTCAAAAGAACTGCCTGAAGAGCTCAGAGACAGAATTGTGGCAAGGCACAGATCGGGCCAAGGTTACAAAAAAAATTCTGCGGCACTTAAGGTTCCTAAGAGCACAGTGGCCTCCATAAACCTTAAATGGAAGACGTTTGGGACGACCAAAACCCTTCCTAGAGCTGGCCGTCCGGCCAAACTGAGCTATCGGGGGAGAAGAGCCTTGGTGAGAGAGGTAAAGAAGAACCCAAAGATCACTGTGGCTGAGCTCCAGAGATGCAGTCAGGAGATGGGAGAAAGTTGCAGAAGGTCAACCATCACTGCAGCCCTCCACCAGTCGGGGCTTTATGGCAGAGTGGCCCGACAGAAGCCTCTCCTCAGTGCAAGACACATGAAAAAACACCTGAAGGACTCCAAGATGGTGAGAAATAAGATTATCTGGTCTGATGAGACCAAGATAGAACTTTTTGGCCTTAATTCTAAGCGGTATGTGTGGAGAAAACCAGGCACTGCTCATCACCTGTCCAATACAGTCCCAACAATGAAGCATGGTGGTGGCAGCATCATGCTGTGGGGGTGTTTTTCAGCTGCAGGAACAGGACGACTGGTTGCAATCGAGGGAAAGATGAATACAGGGCCAAGTACAGGGATATCCTGGACAAAAACCTTCTCCAGAGTGCTCAGGACCTCAGACAGGGCCGAAGGTTTACCTTCCATCAAGACAATGACCCTAAGCACACAGCTAAAATAACGAAGGAGTGGCTTCACAACAACTCTGTGACTGTTCTTGAATGACCCAGCCAGAGCCCTAACTTAAACCCAATTGAGCATCTCTGGAGAGACCTAAAAATGGCTGTCCACCAACATTTACCATCCAACCTGACAGAACTGGAGAGGATCTGCAAGAAGGAATGGCAGAGGATCCCCAAATCCAGATGTGAAAAACTTGTTGCATCGTGAAAAATTTAAGGGGTCTGAATACTTTCCGTACCCACTGTAATATTATATTCATAAAGATTACATTCATAATAAAAGACTTATATTTAAATTAATGCTGTTCTTTTGAATTGTCCATTCATCAAAGAATGACGAAAAAACTGTTATGATTTCCACAGAAATATTGAGCAGCAACACTGTGTTTTTACTGTGGTGAGCATAAGAGACTTCTTAAAAAAGAATACTAACCAACCCAAACTTTTGAACAGTATAGTGTAAATGACTGCATATGACTCCGTACATAAACAATGATTATTTAAATGTATTTATTTTTTTTTATGTTATCCATTAAACACCCTCGGGCCTCAGAGGGTTAAAAGAATATGCATATTCATTCATTTGATACTATACGCATGTCATTTAAGGGGACATACACTCTTAAAAATAAAGGTGCTTCAAAAGGTTCTTCAAGCGATGCCATAGAAGAAGCATTTTTGGTTCCACAAAGAAGCATTCAGTCAAAGGTTCTTTAAAGAACCATCTCTTTCTTACCTTTTTATAATCTGAAGAACCTTTTTTCGCCACAAAGAACCTTTTGTGAAACAGAAAGGTTCTTCAGATGTTAAAGGTTCTTTATGGAACCATTTAGACAAAAAGGTTCTTCTATGGCATCGTGAAGCACCTTTATTTTTAAGAGTGTAGGCTACTTAAAATGTATAGTGCATAATCTCTTTAAGCTTAAGAGCTTTTCTTTTATAAATCTCATGACTGATTAAACAAATTTGATCACAATAAAGAAAACTACAAGGTGTCAAATGTGACTTGGAAGTGAATATTACACTTGCTAAGATGTTTTTATTATATGCAAATACAATCAATCATGGTGAGAGACACAATCTGTGAAAGACCCATTCATTTGGTCAATGAATGATTTAAAAAAAAATCTTTCAGTCATATGAGTTTTGTGAGTCAGGGAAACTCACGTAAAGTCTTTATTTATAAATCTTTCCAGGCCACAGATGACGTCGGATATGACTTCCACGGAAAACAAACTACTTCACTATGTGCACGGCAGAGACGACGTTTTATTCCTGGGAATTCCCACTTTTATTTAGTCTATGCGTGGTAAAACAACGAGCTTCAGAAATGAGCACTGATCTAACAGGTCTTCAGATTATGTTCTGTAAAGACGAAAAAGCTTGTAAGAGCTTCACTGTCAAATTGCTGTCAGCAAAAATATCAGCACTGAAAACTCACAGATAAAAAATATCTGACGTTTAAATGCTCAGAGCAAATATTTTCACTTGTCAAATAAATGTCACTGAGTAAATGTGGCATATCACCGCTTGAATTCTAGAGCAACCTTCTCAATGACCCTTAACTTTTGTTATGCAAACATACTTCATTATAATATAGAGATATTATAATGAAAAAGATAAAAGGACAATTCTAAACAGGTTTTCCATTTATTAGCACCCAAAGCGTTTTTGAGCGATTTAGAGCATTTATTGCTCTAAATATATTAAAATAACTTTTTGTAGGCTATACTCTTGAGGTAAACAGTAAGCTTAATATTCAAAAATAATTGATCAAAATGTCTCTTCTAAAAGTGACTTTCTATGTTT